AACCAGTGTTTGGATATCGAGCTCATAATAAAGTGTTTAACACATTTCAAGAAGATCAACTCGCTGACTATATTAAAAACTCAGCAGACATGTATTTTGGGCTATCTCCTATAGCTATTAGAAAATTAGCATTTGATTTTTCTCTGAAACTAAATTTAAAAGTACCAAAAACGTGGACTGAAAAAAATCAGGCAGGAATTGATTGGTTTTCGGCCTTCTTAAAAAGAAACCCAACACTATCTATTCGCCAGCCAGAAGCAACAAGCATATCAAGAGCTATGAATTTTAACAGAGCCAATGTTAACTTATTCATGGATAAATATGAGTCTGTTATGTTAAAATACAAATTTGAAGCACAACACATTTACAATTTAGATGAGACAGGAATAACAACTGTCCAAAATACTGAAAAAGTAGTAGCACTTAAAGGGAAAAAACAAATCGGAGCCATTACGTCTGGTGAACGTGGGACATTAGTTACTATGTGTTTGGCTGTCAATGCTACAGGTAATTTTATTCCACCCATGTTTATTTTTCCCAGAGTCAACTATAAAGATTTTTTCATAAGAGGTGGACCTACTGGTTGTATMSGTGCTGCAAACAAATCAGGGTGGATGCAGGGGGAAGAGTTTCTAACATTTATGAAGCATTTTGCAAATCATACACGACCTTCAGTTGATAGAAAAATACTTGTGTTATTGGATAACCATGAGTCTCATTTATTTTTGCCTGTTATTGATTTTTGTAGATCAGTAGGAATAGTGTTATTATCTTTCCCCCCTCACTGCTCTCATAAACTCCAGCCATTGGATCGATCAGTTTATGGACCGTTTAAAAAATTTATTAATCAAAATATGACTGCTTGGATGCACAATAATCCTGGAAAGAGAATAACCATATACGATATACCCCATATTTCTTCCGGAGCTTTAATTAGTGCTGCTACTCCCAAAAACATATTAAATGGTTTTTCAGTATCAGGAATTTGGCCTTTTAACAGAGATGCATTTAGCGAAGATGAATATGCGCCATCATCTGTAACAGACATAATGATAGACATACAGGCTCAGACATCCTCAGAACCAGTAAAACATGTAGAAGCTACTGATACTCCTAGTTTCCAGCCAGAAAAAATAATACTACATGAAGTGGATCAACAGCCATCAGAAACATTGATATCACCAGAGCAAATAAAACCATACCCGAAAGTACAATTTCAAGAAAAAGCTTTAAAGAAAGGAGGTAGAAAAAAAGGGAAGACAGCAATACTAACAGACACTCCTGAAAAAATAGAACTTGAAAACAAAGTAACCAATACTGCTAAAAGAAGTCTTAAATTTAAAGAAAATAACAAAACCCCTAAAAAAGTGAAGAAATCAAAAACAGTTCCTAAGAAAAAAAAAAAGAAGATTGTTGATAGCGAAGAAGAAGAAGAGGAAACTTTTTGTTTAGTTTGTGGAGATACATATTCAAATAGTAAAAATAAAGAAACATGGATACAGTGTCTGAAGTGTAAATTATGGGCACATGAAAATTGTACTGATTCAACAAAAATGACTGCTTTTTATAAATGTGACAACTGTGAGGCCGATGAGTGATGAGTTAGGTAACTAAATAGCTMTGTGCACATATTGTTTTCAACAATTTTAATTATAAATATAAGATAAATAATATCATATTTCAAATATAATATAATATACCTATTGTTTTATTAATTTTTAAATGTCTACTGCCAAGACTGACTATTATATT